ATCCTATTAAAATATAATAGCATAATCATAAACAACTAACTACAAATTAAATATGTTCCTGTATATTATCACTCTCCATCACTTTCACTTCCCAAAGTAGGAATATAAAAAGCATAAAGAATAAAAAATTCAGTCTAATGCTTTTAGTCTTAAAATAAATCTTTCAAGTAAACTTATCTACTCACATTTATTCATATTTTACAATAATCCCTATAGAAAAAAATGAGTATTAAGATATCTCTTTCAAGGACAAATTACAATACATAAATTTAAAGTCTGAACAGTATAATTTAAAAATTGTCATACTATTAAACGTCAACAGGTTGATACAACATCTGTTCTTCAATTTTTTACCCAAGTTGTTATGGTAACCAAAATATGTGGGATATGTGTTTTCTAAATTTAACTGATTATTTCGAGTAAATAAAATTATAACATATCATCCTATTAACTACAAAAAATATTGTTACTAAAAACCTATATTTATCCTTTTTAAATGCAAGTGGATCACAGGATTATATTTAGGCATGTTTTATCTCAGAATTCACATTTTAAAAAATAAGGATTTTTTTTTTGCTAATTTGAGGGTGTAATCTTGATTTAAAAACAAAATGAAAAAGGAACTAGTCTATTTTCTAAGCAATATACTATGCCAAAATACTATAAATTTATATAATCCTATTGCTTTGCAAGAACTGTAGATCAAATCTTTTTCAAACATAAGTCAGATCCTGTCACTCTTCGAGTCCTCTGCTCAAAACCTTCTCTACACAAAAGCCAAAATCCTTATAGGACGACAAAGTCCCTACTCTCCCCTTCCCCTGCTCACCCTACTCCAGCCACACCAATTTCCCTGCTGTTCCCCCTGCTTCAGCGGGGCTCTTCCCCCACATAGCCACAAGGCTCACTCCTTCACTTTATTTTTTTAATTATTTATTTATTATCATTATTTTTCAATTTTGACCAGAGACAGAGAGAAAGAGAAGAGAAAGAGAGAGCAAGCCGCCAGGTCTAGAACTTGAACTGTGCTTGGCTATGTGGGAGTCCAGCACCCTTAACCATGCCATTTGCCAGCTCCCTTCACTTACTTTAAGTCAGTGTTCAAGTATCAGCTTAGTGGAAACATCTCTGATCAAATTCTTAAACTGCACCCATTTTTGCTCTTACATTACCTGTCTAATATGGACTGAAATGTTTTCTCCCAAAATTCATATGCTGAAATGTGAATCCCCACTGGAACTATCTGGAGAAAAAGTCCATAAGGAGGGAATCAAGGTTAATGGAGGTCAGAACGGTGGGGCCCTGATCCAACAGGACTAGTATTCTTATAAGAAGAAACCAGAGAGCTGCCTCTCCCACCACTTCTAAGAACTGTCTCTCTCCCCTTGCTGCTGAATAAGCTTCATGAGGATGGAGATTTCTGTCTATTCAGTTCTCATCTCTTACAACTACAAGCTGGCGCATCACAGGAGGTCAGTAAGCATCTGTAGAATGCATGAGTATAAATTTAAACATGTTAAGTGTTGATATATTATGGTAAGAAAAATACATTTTAGTGATGATATTCAAAGAATCCAATAAAAAACAAAAACATGCAATCTTCATTAAGTTAAATTAAAAAATCAAAACTAGCAAAATTTGTGTTCTTATTATAGAACCATAGACTATTGATCTCTTGGATCTCCTCTTGTAAATTTGATCTACAACAAGCTCTGTCTTTCCCTGCTCATTAAATAAGAGAAACACCTAATGCTGTTACTCTGTCCTGGCTCTTTTTTTCTACTCATCTCCAACAGAAACTCATCTGCTCTAACTGTGCCTACTATTATCTCTTTTATGGTGACTCTGAAATCAGAGCCTGGCCTTGACTGTGTTTGGGAGCTATATTCCCAATTATCCTTGGGATAGAAATCATTTAAGCTATGCTGTGAGAGATGTCAAATGACAGGAACCTTAGGTAGAATATAACATTACATGCACTTGAGAAAAAAAAAAAATTCCTAAATCAATAAGTTTAGAGTATACTCTTGTAGTAGTATATAAACTCATAATTCTATAAAATGTCTGAGGAATCACTTCCTCTCATTATAGAAATTAGGCCTATGATAGCAGGGAGTTCCAATCTTTGAGTTATGATTGTGCATTATAATTAACAATGTATACTTGCACTATCAGTTTCACTTCAAAAACTGAATTATTCCCAATATTGTAGTAGAGTGTTATTGCTTTTAAATTTAATTTAATCACTTGGGGGGGGGGTGAATATAAGAAATTACATGAGATTTACAAATTAAGTTTCTAAACCAGGATAGTTTATTTTTAGAAGAAAAACACTCCCATTTTTTTAAAGAATTATTTTATTTAACTTTATTTATCCATTTATTTATTTATTTTAATTTGACCAGAGAGGGATAGAGTGAGAGAGCAAGAGGGACAGAAAGCAAGCCGCCAGGTCCAGGACTCAAACTGCAGTCGGCCATGTGGGAGGGAGTGCAGTGCCCTTAACACCATGTCCCCTGCTGGCCCATATCTCCCATTTTTATCTTCATCATTGGCTTTCAAGTAACATTTGTTTCTCCAGTCATTTTTCTTTATATTTAGCTATTGTCTTGGTCTGTTACTGCACTGAGTAATTAATTTATTTACTTTTTAGAATTATTTTATTTAAACTTATTTATTATTATTATTATTATTATTATTACTATTATTATTATTATTATCATCCAGTTTGATCAGAGAAAGAGAGAGAGGGAAAGTGAGAAAGCAAGTCACCAGGTCCAGGACTTGAACCATGATTGGCCACATGGGAGTCCAGTGTCTTTAACCATCATACCACCTCCTGGCCCCTGCACTGAGTAATTCACAAAGAAAATACAGGTTTATTTCCAAAACTTACGATTCTGATGGCTAGAAGGTCCAAAGGCATCAAAACATGGCAGAAGGTGGAACCTTGAGCACAGCGGAGCATGGTCTGTATGCATGCGGCCTACCTGCCTTTCTTCTCTCCTTTTAACACCAGAACTCGATCGTGGGCCCCATCATAATTAGCATACCCGTGGTCTCACTCTGGGATGTGCAAAGGGATTAAGTTTTCACTTAAAACCTTCACAATACAATTGTGAGGTTACAGTAAGAAGACAATCATCTGTGAGCTGGGAAGTCCTTGCTAGAGCCACCACTTAATTCTACCATGACTCACTACAGTCCACTCTGCAAACAATAACCTCAGCTATCACTATGAAACATGAGTCAGACTGACACTCCTCTACGCAAAACCCTCAAGTCTTCACAATGGCTTGGAAGACCCTCATGGTCTGGTCTGCCTACACTTCATCTTGAACCATTCTTCGCCTCCTTCACTCTCTTCGGCCCCAGTGTCTTCCTCGCTATTCCCTGAACATACCATACATACCCTCACTTCACGTCTGCCACACTGACTGCTTCCTTCCTCTCCTCAGAGAGTCGCAAGCCTTGCTCCTCTGCTTCCTGCCAGATTCTGTTCAGTGAGAACTTCCTTTACAACCCAACAAGGAATAGTATCTTCCCCGCTGCCTATCCCTCTCTAGTACCTTTAATTTACTTTATTTTTTCCCAACCGGCTAATGTCACTGCTTGACATACTATACAATTTGTCTGTTAATTTGCATTGCCTAACTAGAACGTTAACATCGTGAAAGCAGAAGTAGTTTTGTACCTTGTTTATCCCCCAGCAACAGAATACAGAATGGTAGATTATTGAAAACTGTCCGAAAATGTTCGTCAAAGGAATGATGAATACATCTTGTGCTAGTGCTTTCTTACCCTAATTGGATATAGATTCTTTCTCTTTCCAACTGTATACCACTATACACCTACATTTTTCTTATGCTAAAACATTTCTCTCTATTAATAATCATCTTGTGTTTATCTTAGAATGCTACAAATATCAAGAACTGTATCTTATTTCTTTTTGTATGCCCTGAATCTACCATCATTTCTTAATAATGAATATTCAGTGTTTCTTGAACTGAATTTGAAGTCATACTGCAAGAAACTTCTGTAATATATCTGGGTCTGTTGTGTTATCCCTTAGCAAATAGACTAGTATCAATCTTAGGTTGTTAAGAAAGTTCCATTTTCACAACCAACCAGCAAATTCAAAGCAAGTGAGACACTAGAGTGTGTGTATCCTGGCTTGAAACTGCCTGACATCCATTTTGTACTGATGCTGAAATCACAGAAAACATTTTGAATGATGTTAACAAATCAAAAGATTTTCAGAGGATTGCGAAACTACTTGGGAGAAAGTGGCTCAGCTTGATCCATTAATGAATTCTACAGAAAAAGAGCCACTCTATCTTTATAAAGAAACATATAACCAGAAGCAAACTATATAGAGAGGTCTTTTTTTTCCCCTAAGAAAATACATTCCAGCATCACTACTAGAATTAGTACCCATTTGACCCAAGAGTTTTGCATGACTATTTTTTTTTTAAATACTAGAGATGAAGAACTAACAAAGAAGACCAGTTACTGAGACAGAAAGAAATTTAAGACAATAGTGTTCCAAAAGTGAAATAAACAGTGTTTCAAGAGTAACAGAACACAGTAAATTTCCACAACTCATTAACTGGTATTTTGAACACAAGAACATTAAATCACCAAGTAAAGTTAAATTATAATCAACATGTTGAAAATAAATAAATAAATAAATAAATAAATAAACCTTGAGTTTCGAAACTTTCATCAGATCAGTTTACATTTAAAATCTGGTATTAAAGGGGTTAAGTCTTCACCACTGAGAAAAGTCAACCGTAAATATAGCAATTTATTCTCTAAAACTTGTGGAGAAGAAAGATTTTACTTTTCACTCAAATCCTTTGAAAACTGATAATCCATGATTACAGTAATCAAAATAGTTGAAAGGCTAGAATTCTCATTTTCTAAGCAAAAGAAGTAATAGCATTAAAAGTAAATGATATGCTGAAAATAATTTCCTGCCTTATACAGTGGTAGCTCACCTGGGGCATAAGTCTATCCAAACACTCAGCTCGATTTCCATGAGAAGGGTGTGTAGATAACCATTCTGGCAACTTGGGATGGCCCTGAAGGCTCTCCACAAACTCCATCTGCTGCCAAAACACTGAACTGGCTCTTACGTCCATACAGGCCTACAACCAAAATTAAAAAAAGCTCTTATGAGGACATTTTTTAGAAATTTACATTTATGTCACAACATAGCTCAAAAGCATTTTATATCATTTTAGTAAAAGTAGAACATGCTCATTGCTTCAAAAAAAAAATATATATATATATGCTATTATAGAAATCAGGAAATGCTCACACTCTCTTCTCTTCATTCATCCCCTTATACAACATTCACAACTGTCCCAATCCCCAGGTAACCTGGTATTCTCAAATGATGGATATTAAGAACCTGTATTAAGGGTAATATGTTTACATAATTAAAAAGTTCTGTTTCACAAAAATAAAATGCTAAAATATAATCTGTTATTAAATTGCACTAAAGAAAATTTACTCCTGATCCATACCACTAGAATAATAAGGCAAAGCCTGCAAATAAATGCAG